CGCCGAGCACACGCACCCCCACCCCCGCCTTGGGGGCCCTTCCCGGGGCGCGGGATGTGTTTCGGGGGTGGCCGTTTCATCTCATTCCCCCCTCCTTCCGCTCTGCAGTGGTCGATACTGAAGAAAACCAGGGCAGGGGCGATAGGCGCGGTGAAGCACCCCTTAAGGCCTCGGGGCGTCAAAAGCCCCCGGTACTCAGGTGAAGGGGAAGGTAAGGCCATAAAAAAAAAAGGCAGCGCTACTCCCCAAAGATTCCTCACGTCGTTCATCAGGCCAGGCACCAAAAAGCCTGGTAGACAAAACAGCTGCGAAAAAATTTTGTTCCACACAAGGCCAGTTAAAAACACTTTTTAAATCAGAAAAAAATGGTTGGAAACAGCTGAAATGTCTAAGGAAGCAGTCTAAAAATAAGTTACACATTTATGCAAGAAAATTTATGGTAGGGTCCGTTAGCATGGTTTCTAGCTGGTTTGAGAACAAGCTTTGAATATTAAGATCCCACGCTGGACTCAAAACTATAACACTGTCACGAAGCCCTGAGCTGAATCCTGGATTCCTCATACCGCCCCGGGTAGGTCACCTACATCACAGAGAGCATTTACCAAGATACAACCTAAATTATTGCTCTGCTTGCAAAAATATTACATTGTTTCCTCTCTCGGCCTCTGGTATGCATTGGATAAAATATTGCTTTTCTGCTAGCTTGACGACATCCAGTGACATCAGTGGAGTTTCTCACCTTTACGCTTTGCGAGTAGTAAATTACTCTGTGTTTTTCCCCTGCAACCTCAAAGCTGGCGTCAAATCTGTTCTACCATACACCACCAACTTCTACCGAAATGGAGGCTCGCGGTGGTTTTGGTGTCAGGGGCAAGCACCCGAGTTACTTACACTCTCGGTATCCACATGCAGCAGCGTGAAAAACCCAGCCGGGGAGCAGTCAGCAGCTTCTGGCTGCCTCACCTCTTAGCATGGCATCCAGAAGGATTTCAACCCCCAGCTGTCATATCTGACGTATAAATAGCAATTTGCTTAAACTGCAGAGCAGGTAAAACATTCTCATGTTCCTCAGCACAGGTTAAAGCGGAACAACTAAAAACCAAACTGATAGGCAGAGACCTATTAAAAAAAAAAGCAAGCTTTAGAGAAGCTTTTCACTCGGTTGTGTTACGGTCTTGACTGCCATGAATAAAAATTATCTCCAGGTGAGTTAAGTGTTATCTTGATGAAAGCAATCGCAGTGATTTAATCTCAGTTCAAAAAGTGTGCACGTGGGATGGGCAGAAAAATATTATTTCCTGAACGAAAACTTTACAAAAGTGCAATTTAGAACTGCTTAATACACCAATTGTAAAAATACGATGTGAAACTCTATAAAAGCATTTTATTACAATTTCTTGGCTGTTTCCTTGAAGTTAATCGCTTCCACCCCCAATCCAAGGCTGGACTGCAAGTGCCTTCCAGCTCCCCAAATTTTTGAAGCCTAGGTGTAAAGCGCGAGCATTCAGCTTCCATCTCAAGAGCAGTTTTAAGAGCCTTGGCAAGACTTCTCCACGTTTTACAACTTAAAAAGCCTCGAAACTTCACGCTATTTCCGCCAGGCGTTGCAAGGCCGGGGGTGCGGCAAGGGACGCGAGGTGGCAGCGCTGAGCCTCTTCTGCTAGGCGTGGGAAAACGCGGAGATACCGGACCCGGGACGATGGTGATGATTGTTGTTGTTATTATTGTTTTATTATTCTTATTTCCCCCCCGCCCCCCGTGGTTTCACCGAGCAACATAGCGCGGCGAGTTTCTAGCTGAAATTCAGTGGGTTTGCACGCCAGAGCTCTCAGAGCGGCGATGCCGACACGCTTACCTGCACGCCGCGGGGACACTTCACGGTTGACCATAAACCCCATCGGGGGGAATCTAAGGGCATGCTCATTAATAACACAATTGGCACGCGCCCGGCTGAGAGCCGGGACCTGCAGGTCGCCCTGCACGCGGAGCAAGAGCCTGTTCCAAAGGGCTTCTCCCGAGACAAAGCGGCCGGAGGCATCTGCAGCAGGACTGGGCACTGCAAGCACCGAGGCAAGGTTTTCTGCGTGAACCAGACCGCAGTCCCCACCGGTCAAAACGCCTTCAGAAGGCGCAGATTTAGCCCCGCAACAGTTTTTTTGTTTTTTTTTTTTCCCCCTCTCCCCCTTCCCAAGCCGGGGATTACTAGCGCTCAGGCTTATTTAACTGCAGCCCTTGCAGTTGATCTTTTCCACACCCCCAGCTCCGCAGGCTGTGGGAAATGCTTCGGAGCCGGCTCCGGCTGAAGCTTTCGGGAGGCGACTATTCCCCCCCCCT